AGGGCAGGAGGGGACAGGAGAAAAGACGAGACAGAGCACTGAACTGCCAACAAAGCTTGTCGCATGGTTTTGGCCCTTTTAACTGTCATGCTTAAGTGTCCGCGAAAAAGGTCAAAAGTAAAGCTAAAATCCTGCTTCGCAAGTTAAACCTTGTAAGTGTCTTTAAGGACATGTCAGATGCCAAGAAATATTTCCTCGTAGCCTTCTTTAGCGCGAAAACGCACAAGGTCGTCATGCCTTTTAGGCTAACTGTATCTAAAAATAAAACCTCGCAAAAATGTGTTGCGCTCTACCTGCAGAAAACCTTGAAATGTCTAGAAGTGAACTATTCATTTCTGGTAAAGTTCATGTGAAGTCCACGAGTTTATTTCGTCGCGTTGGAAAAAGACTCTATTCGCCTTCTCTGTAGACGTCAAGAACCTGTACTATTATATTCCGCATGACTCATTGTTACAATGCATTGAAGAATGTATAGATGAGTTTGGCGCCTCAAAATTCCAGACCCAGTCTGGCGTCAGCGCAAGTGGGTTTTTAGAGCTTTGAAAGTTTTACCTTCAGTCGACGTACATATTATGGGATGGAAAACCTCACCTTCAAGAATTCGGAATCTGTATTGGTTCTTGCATCGCTCCCATCATAAGTGACCTGTTTTTAGGCAAATTAGACATATCCATTTCGGACGCTTTCACTAACACTAATGTGACGCTTGTTTTCAGATACGTAGATAATTTTTTAAATTTTTATGGACACTGATGTTTCCTCGTATAATAATGACGCTCTTGCAGTTTTAGACCTGATGCGAAGTGGTTTCAAACAATTTGAGCTAACGCATGAACTTTCTCAAAATTGTGAAATCAGATTCCTTGACTTTAGGATATTCCTGAATATTGAAAGCACTTGCTGGATGTATCAACCGCGTATAAATAAGTCTGTTTTGTCTTTTCATTCCGCACATTCTAAATTAGTTGAGCGAGGTATCGCAAAGTCTTGCTTCATGAATGCCTTGCGAAAATCCTGTGTGCACAAGATTGCAGAAAGCTTTGTTGGGCAATCTTCAAGGCTGACGTAGGCTGGTTACCCCGACCACGTGCAAGTTTCCGTTGCCGAAGGCTTGCTGCGTGAACTTCAGGCAGAAGGGAACAATAAGGTAGTCCTACCTGTCACAGCTAGACAGGCTATCGCCATGGTTCCGTATATGCACAAGATAGCGCACAATCTTAAAAAGGTGGCACAGGGAGTTAATGTGAAGGTGGTCTTCATGGCCCCTCAAAAATTGAGTTGCCTGTGCAAGCTGTCTGTTCCTCCGTACAGACCCACCCTCGGTTGCACTACAAAACATGCAAATGAATTTAGAGAGTGTATCTGCAATGTGGTCTATCAGCTGCTGTTATAGTGTGGAAGGTATAACGTCCGTCAAACAGGTCGTTCTATAAATGAAAGGCTGAAGGAACACATGTACAATGTGGATCACTATAAACAAGGATTGCTGTCCGTTCACTGCAGCACGTGTGGTTGCCGGCCAATATTTTCACAGTGTGGAATTGTTGCAAGATGCAGGGATAGCACAGCACGGGAGATTCTAGAGGCAGAAAAAATTTGCTTATTGAAAGATGCTTGTGTTAGCACCCCTTCTGTCAAGCTCACCGATGAGGAAAAGTTGTTCGTTTGCTTGTTGGTGTAATGTACCTATGCATTGTCATTGTGTTTCGCACATGACTGTTGCGACTGGTGACTATTTAAGCGAAGACCTTCACCAGAAATCAATTCTTTGCAGTTCAGCACTCTGTCTCGCCTCTTCTCCTGTTCTCCCCTGCCCTGTCATTTGCGCTGCTAAGCACTCTTTATCATGTTATACGAACACGCCCAATCCTGCTGTCTCTCAAAATGTCAAGCGCACAAAAAATGCAGGAGAGTTTTGTAAGTCAGTTACGGCGTATATTGGCTGCAGGTTTGACGACAACCGGCAGCCAATATACGGCGTATCAGATTTTCAAAAATCTACGGCATTTTATGTGCGCACGACAATTTGAGAGCCAAATATGCACAAGTTGAAACTATAGCGAGAATTTGTGTATGAGTGGTAGCATCAGCGAAAGTGGGACTAATCAGTGTATCCGCCTTGAAAGTGATACCGGCGAACTTCCAGTCTTCAGCACCACCAGCTGCTTGGAAGAAATATTGCGATAGAAAACTGTACGTAAAACCAATCATCATTTTTTAAATTGCGTTGAACGCGTCGGTCGTTGTTTCGTTCGCCGAATATTGCTGATAGGATAAGGCTGTAGACCGCGTGCCATAACGCCGCTCCTTTCGGCGTCTACGAAGGGAGTCGTTCTTACGTTTTGCCTGGGTAGTTTATCGTGCAAAAACAGCGTCCTTGGCGGAAGTGAAAGTTGCGGTTCACTCAATTGGACTTACGAAGATCAGATGCCCACTCATGACATTTTCGTGCCAAGATTTCTGCTTCTGGTCGTTGCCTTCGCGTCCCTTAAAAAATAACGTGAGCGTCTCGAGAAAGTTCTTGCGTCTCTAAAAGAAGGAAACAATGATGCCGACCAAGTATGCACTGAAATTTAGGAGGTGGTTTCTTGGCTTTAATTTCTTCCGATCGGCCAGTACCTGCTCGGTCATAAGTTTTTTTTCTGAAATAAATCTCCACGCTTCAAAAAGCTTTGTGTTTTTTCTCTTAAAAATTAGCATTTAATTCATTTTCTCTAAAAAGAAGTGTAGGATATATTGCATAATGGTGCGAAAAAGTGAATGTTTGAGGCGCTTGCAAAACTGAAACAGAAATCGCACGAAAACGGACTAATTGGCGTATTATCACATGTGCAGAATCACCGCCCAGGTAGCTTTTGCTGTGGTGCCACAGAAAGTTGTCGCCGAGTATAGGCTAACTAAACACTCTTACCTAAAACACAAGGTCTGACCCCTCCACACAGTAAACAGAACATCAAGCTTTTACGCTAAGGCTTATGATCACCAAGAAGTTACCCCTACACACTTTTGATTAACAAGATTTACTCGGAGTTCTTTATTTCTACAACATGCGAATAAATGCCACGACGCATATATTTACTCAGTTCTCTTGCCCTGGCGTTGTTTTCAGTTACGCAATGACAAGGAAAATACTGAACTACGGTTCGGCGCAGCGAAACGCAGTGACACATAAGAAGGGACAATAATGGACAGTCGAACGGGCCGCACGAAGCGGCCTAAAGGGACACTGAAACACTTATTCAACTACCCATGGATAGGATTCACTGAAGAGCTTACTGCCTCACTGAATTCAACGTCACAAAAATTTTAAGAATTGGTCCAGTGCGAAGTGGGATACTAAGATTTGTCGCATGCTACTATTCAATTCTCTCTTTTCTCGTCCCGACGAAAAGTTGTAAGTTAAGCAGAGAGGGATGGCAGGGGCTAAGAGAATACGTCACGCGCACCTCGCGACCTTCTGGATTTTTTTTCTTCCAATGTGAGGTTTTTTCACTGTGATGTCACATGCTCCAGTGGACAAGCCACAGCCTCCCAAGGTGATTTCTGTAACGAGCGAGCGCACTATGTTCATATCAGCCACTGGCTGATAAATGAGCAGTCTGCGAGTTATTTTTGAGCGTATTCTGTCATTTTTCTAGAGAAGGGAAAGCAGTTTTTAGCTGACTTTGATAATTTATTGCGAATTCCAGGCCACGTGCTGCGCTGTAGTATTTGGCTCGCGTGTTGCAGGAGCCTCTATACAAACGATCGGCCGCGTTTTCTGACCATGCCTAAAAAGTGTTGCAGGGCGCTTTAATGGCTATTCGGTCCCAACGTGGGAGCGGCCCGCCTCAAGCTAGGACACTAGTGTGACCTATTGGACATGAAGTTCCTGGATTTATGCATACATCCATTTGCATTGTCGACCCAACAAATTCAAGGAATAAATTAATATGGTCACCGCGGGAATCAAACCTAAGCATTCTATGTGACAACTGAGTATTCTGCAACACAGTGACGCCACGTCTTGGAACTGCTTTGGAAAAATACCCTACGTAGGCACGATGCTGGTGAAGATTAATTGTGGTTGCAGCTCTGCCCATCTAACACTACAAGCATTACATATGTACTCTAATGAGACGGGCATTATATCGGGTTATCACGAATCGTAGTTCAGCGCCATCAACTGAAGCTGATTTACGTAGCACCATCCAGGGGTACCATCTTCTCAAGCACAAGCGCAACATTTAAGCTTACCGCTTCAGCTGTTGGTAATACCCTGTTGCTTTTTGGATGGTTGCGCAACCACAAACAAGTGGGTACATAAAACATATGTGACTGTTCAACATAAATGTGCGTGAGTATAACATATGTACATATATTCAGCGTCCTTTTGCTACGCTTCGCTTAAGAAAAAATATATCATGCCACAGTCACCACACTACACCTGCTTCGCATGACATCGATTCACATGAAATTGATAATACGTGGGATCTGCCAAATTTCTTTTGTAGCATGGGCTGGCATACAACAAAAACTAAGTGATAAAATGCATGCAGATCTTTTCTTTTTACATAAAGATAAAGGAAAAGCAACGGTTGGAGCTGTCTATGCATAATTTGCGTTCAACGCATATTTGCTCATTGTCCTAACGTAAGAACGCCGAAAAGGTACCCTTTTAAACTTTTTCTCTATTTTGTTGCTTTCAACTTTCAAGAATGTTTTTATGAACACGCGCTCATGTGCGTTCTTCTTGAGAAAACGACCTTCTGGCAACACTTCTAAAGAGTAACTAAGATAAGAGGAAAAACTAGGTCTACGAAATTCAATACTAGAGGGCTCTACTAAGATAACAGACGTCTTGAGCACACGCAAGCAAATTGTTTCCATGAAACAGCAAAATAGCGGTTGAAACACTTGCTCAGATGTTGTTAGCCAACACAGTCAAGGACGGAGGACGCATATCTTCAGCCCGTCGCAGCCACCGCGATATCCGATATCTTGTTTAGACGGCCTCGGCTACTTTTTCCGTCTCAAGGAAGGCTGCCTAGAAGGCCCGTCGTTAACCCACGAGTGCTTCAGTCTCGCGTTTCGCCTTGCTGTCGAATACTCGCAGTCCATTCTCATCTCGTCAACATGGGCTGGCTAAACACTGGAGCGTCCGTGGTGTTTGCCGTTATAGTCACCGGCAGCATTGTCACACACCATCCTCCTCGTGAGCCAACGGACGCATTTAGGGTGAGTTCGGGTATATTTTAATGAATCCCACAAGAATACACCATGGCACTGTGGAGCAGGTGGTACCGCCAACTTATTCATGATTCATAATTCATATGTGGGGTTTAACATGCCAAAACCACCATATGATTACAAGAGACGCCGTAGCGGAGGGCTTCCGAAATGTTCACCTCTTGGGGTTCTTTAACGCACACCCAAATCTGAGCACACAGGTCCAAAGCATTTCCGCCTCCATCGGAAATGCAGCCGCCGCAGCCGGGATTCGAACCCGCGACCTGCGTGTCAACAGCCGAGTACCTTAGCCACTAGACCACCACGGCGGGGCAAGCTCAACATTGAACGCGCCATTTGCGAACATGTATGAAACGTTTTCACATTGGTCGCAGCTCGAGTAATATTTACCTCAAGACCTACTTTCACTAACATTAGATCACTACAGTATTTCTTTTGTGGCATCTTTTTAAGCAGCGAGTAACTTAGGTCTATTGTAGAGGCCCATGTCTATTAATACTTCCACTTCAATCGTTTATACTAAAATCAAAATGTTATGGCGATGCCCGGTCGGAATTGCTCTAACTTCGCTGAATGTAGCTTATCCCCCAATATCTGCCTAATTTAGTTTTTCGGCTGGTCAAAGTTGCAACGTAGAGGGGCGATGAGTGGCATCACAGTATCTAGGAACCGTTGCTGACGTTGCAGGTGGAGAGGACGGCGCTGGAAGGTTGCTCCAGTGGCAAACTCACTCCGTTCGTAAAAGTGTCAAACTCATGATGCTCGTCTTGCTAAAGTTTGCGGCAGATGAGTACGATATCTCCGCGACAATGGTGCGGTGTTTTGAGAATGTGTTGATGATGGAGAGAGCTATATGCTATTGTTAGAAAATAACTGGGACACGTATTCATAAAGCACCTGTTATAAAAATGGATAACTTCGTTAAGACGATCACTTTGAGAAAAAGTGGCGACAAGCATTTAGCCATTATTTAGCCTCTTGGTAACAGAGCAAGAACGGCACATAGAAAACAAGACCAAATGACAAATCAGAGTGCTCAGAACAAGTATTTGAGCTCTGTGGTTCGTCCTTTCTTCTTCTTCGCACGTGCTGTTCGTTATACTGTTTTCAGTACGTTCAAGAACTATTACCAAATAGTTCAGCTGTCGATCCTGCTAAAGTATTCAGCAAGCCTGTCTTACATTTTTCAAAGAATAACATACTGTTACATTCGCACAACATTGATCTATAGTCTGTGACGTTTTTTATTCTCTTTTCACACAAAAGTCTTTTTTTGCCAGGGTCCACCAAGATTTCAGTGACTACTTAGGGCGCGGAAATGACGTCAAGAACAACGCGATCAGAACAAAGAAAAACTCTGACAACATGAATCGAACCCACGACCTCTTGCCCAGCGACAACAGCTGCTCGGAACACTATCCACTGCGCCACGGCCACATGCTTGTTATTCTTTTAAAATCCACCTTTTATATCTACCACTGCACTCTCGCTGTACTCTAGGTAAAGTATAATAAGGCATCATGACCACGAAATCAACAATTCGTTCCTTGAACACGCCGTTTCGACGCATCAGCCTAATTATGTACGTTCCCAATAGAAGTGCGTCTTTGTCAACGCCTCCACACACTACTAAGTAGCGATATCAGCTAAAACTTGGGAGTGCCGCATAATATCCATCCAAACGAAATGTAGTTCTGCAACGCATAGAGCAACATGCCTGCTTCCCCTGGATGTAATTCGGCGTTCATCGCTGAGGCTCGCCACGTGAAAAATCCTGGCCGGTCAAAGGGAAGACTGATGTAACGCATTGCGTTTCTCTCTAATCTGGCAGTGGCATTCAATAGCTCAACATGCTACGAGTATGCGACCTAGGCTCAAGTGTGGCGTAAAATTAATCAAGCTCTTCTGAATGTCGCACCACTTTCTGTGTTTCTACTCTCACCGTTAACAACTACTGTTAACACAGGCGTCCATGGCCACAAATGTATGTTTTATCATTCATCATTCATTGATCATGGACGTTATTCGTTGGTATAGAACACTAAGCGTCGACGTCGATTTATTCACGAAAAATGGTGCTTTAGCTGTCGAGCACCAACATACATTGTACATTACTTACGGTACATTGATACCCGAGTGTGGGTCAATGTACCGAAAGCTCTGAACTAGTTCGGTAAAGAGACGTTTCACTTTTTATTGATTACTGTAGCGGTGGCATCAACTTCTTTTAGGGGTGAAGCTCCTAAGTCCATGCGTCTGTTCATGCATGTCTTTTGTGACCGGTTCGTAACCCACTAATTGTATTACTCACGCAGCAAGTGGCGCTTGTAGGAGCGACAGACAGACAGACAGACAGACAGACAGACAGACAGACAGACAGACAGACAGACAGACAGACAGACAGACCGACAGACAGACAGACTGACTGACATAGACGGACGGGCGGATGGACAAACAGACAGCCAGACAGACAGACGGGCAGACGGGCGGACGGACGGACAGGCGGACAGACGAACAAACGGACGGACGCACGAACAGACGGGCAGACGGACAGACGGACAGACAGACGGACAGACGGACCGACAGACAGACGGACAGACAGACGGACAGACAGACGGACAGACAGACGGACGGATGGACGGACCGACGGACGGACGGACAGACGGACGGACCGACGGACCGACGGACGGACCGGCGGACGGACGGACGGACGGACAGACCGATGGACGGACGGACGGACCGACGGGCAGACAGGCAGGCAGACAGACGGACGGGCAGACGGGCAGGCGGGCAGGCAGGCAGACAGACGGGTGGATGCATGGATGGACGAACGGATGAATGGACTTCACTTCCAATGACTGTATCATGCAGCACAGGCTTGCCGAATGTGCACTCAAATGTATCCATGTGCAACCTACCCCGATCCGAGGGACGCGAATGGATTTAATGCTAGCAAACTTCCCACTGCACCCAGCACAAGAACCTCTCTTGCTTCAGTTCACGCACCATAAAGCCGTATTAAAGAAGAGAGCTCGCAATCCAACCACCATGACAACAAAGAAATGAAAAGAACAAACAATAAAACGAAACAACAAACAAGCAAGAACAAAATAAGAGTTGGTTCGTATATTATGCGCAAATTATTACGTCTTTTTAATGATACAATGGACTTACTTTTCACGAGAGAGTTACGGTTTACCGATGATCTCTCACTCTGAATCTTCGCCCATTTATCATTCATTTTGTGCACATGACGTGATTTTTTGTGAAGTACTCTTATTCTTGGAACGTAATGTCATATTTGTCTGCACAAACTCCGAGTCTTAAAATCTCTTCCCTGCTTCATCCATATGATGGTGAAAGCATCAAAGCGCCACCTATAGAGTACGGTGCTCACAGCTGTCGCATCCCCGTGAACCCATGTGCAGCTTGCATAGGTGCTTCATCCTATTGCAATTCCTGTTTGTCGGAATGTCAAGCACGTCCCACGTATGTTAGGCAGGGGCGAGGCAGGCTCCGTTGCGCGTCGATAATTTTCAGTAGATAGCTTGGCCTTCCTCGCCAATATTATCAAATATTAGGACTTGACTGTTCAGCCAAACTTACCATTCCGACAAGAAATAACAAATGTAATTTTTTAGCATGCATAGTGCTTACATTAGCAGTAAAAAAAAACTACTTGTTATTAGAATGGTAACCTTCAAGTGCGACTAACTTGTGGAGCTCACTAACAAGCACACCGCAGCACTGGAGACGCACTTTACGAAGACGATATAGTCTTTCTTATGATACTTGAATGTCGAAATTTTGGTCTGCCTGTTTGTGTTTCTGTCTGTCTTCCTGTCACACGATTCCATCACTGGTCTAAAGTTTAAGCACTTCTGAAAGCCCAGGACACTTGAATTGGTGGCTCTGTCCTTACTTGGGAACAATGTCGATCAAAAAGCAAACATCGCGCATATCCGAGGTGCCACATCGATATGTAAATGCTACTTGGTGTGCAACATTACAAAGAAAAACATAAATACGTAGATATTAAATCCTAGTGTTTTTAAGCTGCGCTAAAGATGCGACGCTATGCACGAAAGAAGGCCGACAAACACTTTCATTTTACGACTACAGTTGCAGCGAAGCGAGAAGACACGCGGCCCCTTTTTATAACTATCATCGTTTATTTTTTCTTAGTTTCAAACGACAATGGTTTCCACGAGGACACCGCTGCTTCTTAGCGCCTATGAAGGATGGTATAGAATGTATCAAGAATAAACGAATAAATGGACGCTGTGATTCCAAGCCCGGAATACGGTACATTTCAATAACCGCTAGATGTGTACAGTAATTCCAACCGCTTTTACGCGCAGTACTAAGACTTCTCCGCCATGAAGGCCGCCTTATTGATTATTGCGACTTTAAGGCTCAATGTTCAACTGGATTTCTTTTTAATATTGCGAAGGTAGTGCTGTGTAATGTTACGTTTATTCACCACTAGAATTCGAATGTCCATTAGAATCCAGTACTAGTCACACTTTCTGGCTGGATGTAAGACACTTTACAGGCACCGCTCTACAGGTGTAGCAACTCGATTGCAAATAGACCAACGGAAACCTACGGTGAACCCCCAGCGGTGGGAAAATGTGCTAAAGTTTTAACGCACCGGCTAGAGCGAAAAAGCCTTTTAGACTACGAGAAGCGTTCTAGATAACCTGTCAGATGTCTGAAAGTGAGTGCATGTAGGCGGAACATTCTTAAGCAATGTGAGAGTGGTACAAAAGTTAAGAGATTAAGTTTACCTTCACAGAAAAACCCGAATTTCCGTCGACAAGTTCGGTTATTCGGTTATTCTTAATCAATTCACCCATTCGGTTATTATTAATAAATTGCTTCTTCGACGTAGATTGACGGCCTCCCAAATGCGCCTACAAATTGCCGAATGGGCTCATTTTTGTCGTGACATCTGTCGGACAAAATAAATTAAGGAGACTCCTTTC